CTCACAGTTATGAGGTATCACTGTTATCCAATTTCTAGATAAATTCAAATGTGAATAGTTTTGATCAGCCAGTAAAACTATTCCTTGAAAGAAGTCACTTAAGCATGTAAATTGAGAATTATATGAAGTAATAATCAAGTAAAAGCAAGGATGTTTAACTTCTGTCAAAATGGTGGGGTATAATGGTTGGGTGGAGGGCTGGGAGACCTTGATTAAGATTATAACAGCTTTCTCATCTACTAAAATTGAGATGATATTCAAAGATTCTTAGATTGCCTGCTCTCAAGGAAAAATAGAAAGTTACTAATTTGGATAAGCAATATGTTCTACTGAAATTGAAAACAGACCTAAAATGTCCCACTCCAGTTTAGTAATGGCTGTTTTGTAGATTATTTTATATGAAATCTTAAGTATTTTAGAGCCAAAAGACCACTGATAACTCCAAGCTGCCTTGTTTTACATGAGGCAAGAGCTTCATAAAGAATAAATGTAAATGATAGGACTTTAGAATTTTCAAGACTTTATAAAGTTAATTAACATGTATTAAACCCTGTAGCACCAAATGTGATGACAGGGTTCCTACCCATGAAGAGTAAGAAGTGAAGATCTAGGATATAAAAATCACCTAATTACAGCCATTGGCAATAACAAAGATCTCATGAGAAAACTTAAAATCATTTTAAAATACTGCTGGGATTACAGGCATGTGCCACCATGTGCCCAGCAGCTCAGGAGGCTGAGGCAGGAGGGTCAAAAATTCAGAGCCAGCCTCAGCAACTTAGACCCTAGCTCATAATTTTAAAAAAATTAAAAGGGTTGGGAATGTGGCTCAGTGGTTAAGCACTCCTGGGTTCAATCCCTGGTACCCACAACCCCCCCCCCCMAAAAAAACTTTATGTAGTTAAGTCTAGTCATTAAAATGACAGTAACAAAATATTCTTTTAACCTGAATCACTATCTCTGTGTTGCTGATCAAGTTGTTAATGTTACTTTTGTACATAATCATTTTACAGTTTGCAAGGCATGGTTCTTTTTGATATTATATAGGAAATTCTAGACAGAGTATAATATTTAATATTTATTAAAATAACAGTGTATTGAACATATTTACAAGTAGTCTCACACAGGACTCACRAACAGTCTTAACTTAGGATATGGATTTGCCAGTTTACAATAAGGAAAAAGGTTATCTTTAGAGCAACTATGTAGCTGAATTTTGTGCAAAAAAGAATTCAACTTTAGCAAATACTTTTACGTTGAAGAAAATGTCCATAAACATTTTTTTTATTTTAGTACATTCAGAGTAAGGAAAAAACAGGATTTTCTTTCATATAAGTCTCAAGAATTCCCACTTTTTCTTTAGAAAAAAAACTGACTTCATATTTTATGGATAAGAAAAAAAAGTTTGAAAGTAACTTTTTGTTTTGTTTTCAGCTAAATTCCTCTTCAATTATTCTTTATTCTGCTTGATAACTTTTTCATGTTCAGCAACTTTACATGTTCATCCTCTTTAAACACTTAAAGTAATTAGGGGCTAATGGTGTAGGTTCTGTGGTACAGTGCATGGTTAGCATGTGCAAGGACCTGGGTTTGAACCCCAGGTCCACACACAAACAATAATAATTAGGACATATTACATTATCTAAAGATTAAACTTGATGTAGAAGTCAATTTACATACCTTTATGTCTTGCAAAGAGTGAAACAGGTACATTCTATGTAAGCTAATAATAWGAAAAAATACAGCTAAAGCCATAAGCCCTCTTTAACATTACTTTTATTCCTTTGAGTAAGAGGCAAACAATTTTAATACTTACAATTGCTAATGACAAAACATGGTCCTTGGGGTATTATGTATGCTTGTGGATGCATACACACACACATCTACATATAGGTATGTATGTGTATAGACATAATTGCTATAATGAGCACATACAACCACAAAAAAGGTAATATACAATTAAATGAAATACTAAACAAATAACAAGATAAACCATAGATTTCAGAGAAGGGGGATACGCATGTAGGTATGGAAAGGACAAATTAAGCCTTCAAGATGGAAATAAGATTTGTTCTGAACCTTAAGAGAGCTATAGCAATAATAGGCTACAACATAGCTGTAGATACTCCAACTGCAGAATAATTGTGAATCAAAATTTCTAAAGACCAATGCTCACGCATCTCAGTAAAAAAAATGGGAGATTACAGTGGAATGGGGATTAGAGGAAATTTATGTAAGAAATCTTATATGCCCTTAAATTTGAATTCATCTAGAATTAGCAATGCACTATTAATGGGCTCTTAAGCAAGGAAATGATGTAACCAAAGCAGTTCCTCATGATCAAAAGGAGAAAATGGATAGTGAAGAAGCTGAAGGCAAAAAGCTACAAGCAAGTACAATGATTTTAAAGAAATGAAAGATTTGAGCTTTTGTTATGTTGTTGGCACAGCAAGGAYAAGGAGGTCAAACACTTTCAGCTTATCACAGGTAAAACTCAATATGATTTTAYAAGTCCACAACATCCAGAAACATTTCATCTTTTGATTCTCGGTAATTAAGGACCTCCTGCACTTTATTGATGAACTCCAGCCTTCCGATCAGTTAGCTATCTTTACAGCAGTATATACACACTAGTGTGCCTGCTTCTTAAAGGTACCTCAGAGCTAAATATGACAGTTTCTTAGCAGAGGTTCTCAAGTTTTTTACTGAACCTGTGAATTACCAGAGGAACATATTTAAATTGCACTTTCTAATTCCTGTTTTAGACCTGAATTACTTAAAATGTATCTGATTCCCAACAYAGCTGGTCCTCAAATCCCATCTCAGACAAGTCATTTAAGCTTCCTGGCTTCAGCATAATTATCTGTAAAATAGGCATAATYGCTATCTTATACAGTTATAAAAATTAAATGAAATAACATATTAAGTGTCTAGCAATGGCCCTGGCACTTGGCAGATGCTAATATAATAGTCCTAACTTCTCCCTAATTTAGGATGCTAATTTAGGAAGTGCAAGATTTTCTCAAAGCAGACTACAGAATGGTCACGTCAGGTCCTTGTCATTTCCTTACTCAAAAAACCCATTAARCCAGGAATGGTGATGCACACCTATAATCCCAGCAGCTCCGGAGGCTGAAGCAGGAGCCAGCCTCAGCAATTTAATGAGGAAGATGAAAATATTCAGTGGCTATTATATTAAACCACCCAGTGAAAGCACATCAAAACACATAACTTAGAGACAGCCTGTTTCAAAATAAAAGATAAAAACAGGCTGGGAATGTGGCTCAGTGGCCCCTAGATTCAACACCCCATACCAAAAAAAAAAAAAAAAATCAACAGGTCAATGATAATTTTTGAACAAAGTTCAAATTTAAAGGCATAGATCTCCTACATAATTTCCTTTAGTCTTCCATTTTTAATTAGATCTGCAGAGTTCTTAGTTTGTTATATTAACTAATAAAGACAGCACCTTAGAGGAGCTTTCCTTTCTCTTATCCACTATAAAGAAAGTACTTTCATATATGCTTTTTCCTGTTTTTTTTTTCTCACAAAAAGACTGACCTTCAAACTGAGATAAGACAAAGAAAAGAGCAGTCCAAGATAAACTTTTAAATAGCCCATATACTTTCAGAACTCTTCCTTTCAACTTTTCTCCTATCAATTACTTGGGGGCTGGTGGACAAAATTTTGATGGTTCTGTGTCAGAATTCTACAGAAAGTACTGAAGATGATTGCCTTTCCAGTATCTGTTCCATTCCTTCTGGTTCATGAGGTAAAGGCATGTATTCACTTGGAGGCTAGAGACAAGATCATTTCTAGGTCATGTGATCTGACAAAATGAGGCAGAAGACTGAATGGAGTTACCAGTTACTTAAAGACAAGTTCTGTTTTCTCAGGTTATTTTGGAACTACTTTGTAGGCAGTAGGGGACTTTAATGATTTTTGAGCAGTAAAGTAAAATAATCAATACTAACACAAAATAGTACTTCCCATTCCTCCCCCAACAATAAAACAAACTAATGAATTTTTAACTTATATTTTTGTTAAAATATAAACTAAGATTAAATTCTCAGTCTAAATTAGACTAAATATAGACTAAATATAAATACAACCCACTGAATGGATTTATAATCCACTTAAGTGTTCCTTAAGTGTCCAGTCATTTTCTATTTTCTTCCATCTTTTTCCTTTTTTCTAAATATATTCTGCCCATTCTTCACTTATCATATGTAATTGATTCCATCAAACAACACTTCTCAGGATCAAACTACTTGAATAATCATGAAGCCTGCTTAGAGCTTTTGAAATCTTAAACATCTTCACTACACGTCCCAAGGCACTATTTTTATCACTTTTTTGGGGAGGGGGGTAGTACCAGAATGTTTCATAAAGAATCAAAAAAGTGGCTTATTTCCATAAAAAGGAAGATGAATATATTCAGTGGCTATTATATTAAACCACCCAGTGAAAGCACATCAAAAACTACTCATCCTTATGTTAATTAACAAAATTATAACAATAAATTCAATTACTACTTTTATCATTCACTTAATGCATACAGGATTCAAGCAATCAAAATGGCTTTCCATATTTGACATCTGCTTTCCAAACACTTCWCATTTCAATCTTATATCCCTACAAAGAAATCCAAATGTACTTTCCTTACCTAAAAACACTATAAAAGACTAAAAGGCATTTAGAATTTTTTTAGACCTTGAAAAAGAGTGTTACATTTCGGGCTGGGGATATGGCTCAAGCGGTGGCGCGCTCGCCTGGCATGCATGCGGCCCGGGTTTGGTCCTCAGCGCCACATGCCAACGGGGATGTTGTGTCCGCGGAGAACTAAAAAATAAGTGTTGAAAATTCTCTCTCTCTCTCTCTCACTCTCTCTCCTCAAGATGGGAATAAGACTCTATTCTTTAAAAAAAAAACAAAAAACGAGTGTTACATTTCCAACCTGTATTTATATATTTAAGTTATAAGTTATTTTGTGACACRGCTTCAATTAAGTACATCATTGTTCAATTATCTGGATACTGCTTCATCTTGTCAAGTCAAATTCTTTCACATCAAGGCTCTTATTCAAGATTTCTTCTTCTGCAAAATTGATTTTTAAATAAGGGATAAACAAACATTACAAAGAAAAAGAAATTGGGAAGATTTCAAGTAGTAGCAAATTTGGGTTTTTTGTTGTTGTTGTTGTTGTTCTTTTTCTTTTTCAATATTGGGGACTGAACCCAGGGGCACTTAACTACTGAGCCACATCCTCAACCTTTTTTGTTTTGAGTCAGCATCCTGGAAGTTGCTTAGGGCCTCAGTAAGTTGCTGAGGCTGACTTTGAACTTGCAATTCTCCTGCCTCAGTCTCCAGAACCTCTGGGATTATAGGCATGCACCACTGTGCTTGGCTCACAAATTCCTTAATTTAACAAAGTTCATATTTATGAAAATACTCAAACTATGATAAAATTATCTTTTTTTTTTTTCATTGAAACACCTTACTTCCAGAAATCAATACATTTCTCCTAGGTTACTTTTCAAAATACTAGTGTTTAAATATCAGGAGCAAATCAGAGTGATGTGTAAATGAATCTTTATCATCAGATTCCAATCTGTCCTAACAGGGTATAAGAGCAATATTTAACAATCACAAGTGAAGAGAATTATGATTAATCCAACATTATCTTCTACCAAGTTTCAATAATGATTAATGCTAACCATTATGGGTTGAATTATGTCCCCCAAAAGGTATGTGAAATTCTAACCCAACTAACTTCAGAATGTGACATTTGCAAAAAAAAAAAAAAAAAAAAAAAAAAAAAAGAGAGAGAGAGAGAGACAGACACATAAGGGAATAAAGCTATGAAAAGATAGAGACAGTGACAGTGGCACAGGCCTATAATCCCAACAACTTGGGAGGGTGAGGCAAGAGGACTACAAATTCAAGGCCAGCCTTAGCAATTTAACAAACTCTAATACACAACTTAGATTGGGTCTCAAAATAAAAAATAAACTGCATGTAGTGGTACACACCTGTAATCCCAGAGGCTTTTTAGAAGCTGAGGCAGGAGGATTACAAATTCAAAGCCAGCCTCAGCAATTCAGCAAGACCCTAAGCAACTCAKCGAGACCCCCTTCTCTAAAGTAAATATTTTAAAAAGGAGGCTAGGGATGTGGCTCAGTGGTTAAGCGACCCTGGATCCAATCTCCATTTTAAAAAAGTGTTTCTAGACATTTTTAAATCCACTTTCCAGCTGGGTGCGGTGACATGTGCCTATAATCCCTGCAGCTCAGGAGGCTAAGGCAGAAGGATCACAAGTTCAAAGCCAGTCTCAGCAAATTAGTGAGGCCCTAAGAAACTTAGGAAGATCCTGTCTCAAAAAATAAAAAGGGCTGAAAAATAAAAATAAAAAGGGCTGGTATGTAGCTCAGTGATAAAGAACCTCTGGGTTCAATTCCAGATACAAAAAAATAAATAAATAAAATAAAACCATTTACAATTAGACAAGAAGATTTCAAAGAGATTTACTTTCAATAGTTTATATTACAAAAACAGTTAAGTTTCGGGAGTTGTGAATTTTTTTTCTACCTCTGACCCTAACCAATTGTAAACTACATATGCATAAATAGATTCTGAAAGTACCTGTAAAGTAAGGGTTCACTCCTTCAACCCCCAATTAAACAAAACAGAACATATTTTATCACATTAACAACCAGGATTATGGGGCTGGGGTTGTGGCTCAGCTGTAGACCACTAGCCTAACACGTGCGAGGCCCTGGTTCRATCCTCAGTACCACATAAAAATAAATAAATAAAATAAAGGTATTGTGTCCAACTACAACTTAAAAAAAAAAAAAGATTATGCAGCATTCACTATGTATGATTTTTATAAAAAGTTGAGAGAAAACTTCAATAGGTGATCTAGTTAAATCTTACCTTTTAAATTAGGTAGAAGTTCTCCAAGACTACATGGTACTGTGCTCTTCAATTTTTGCTCCACAGGAGAAAACTTAATTAGTGGTGATAGAGACTGTTTTCTTTCACCAAGGGACGTGCGTAAAGATGGTTTTGTATAATCAATGAGCAAATCATCAGTGTCCAAAAAGTTAAGCATATCATTTGCTTGCATATTTTTAGGTGAAGGGCTTGATTCTGGTTTGTGTATTTCAAGTGCTTCAGAATTAAAGAGGTAAGATTCTTCCCTTTTCTTGGAAAGAGATTTCTTYAGAGCCTCATAACTACTACTAATAGCCTGTAAATTGAAGTCTGATTCTGAAATAGTCTGTCTTTCTCCCACATAATCTGGAAAAATGCCTTTGTACACAGGACTATTTGATTCCAGTTTAAAATTGGCCTCTGAACTACTAGAACTATTAAGACTTAGGTGAYCAACCTCTTCTGGAAGAGTTTCATGTAATATGCCAAAATCTGTATCCTTAAGACTCTTGGAACTAATTTCACTTGCTATCTGAAAAGAGTTCCATAACATAGTCTTATGCATGGAAGGTTCATTATAAGAAGCTTGTGAGCARTCCAATATTTTAATATACTCTTCTCCACTTTTACCTATCACACCTATTCTATTTCCCACAGTAGGGGAAAATCTCTCTATTTGGCTGATTGTTGAAAGCTTGGTTGGTAAAGGTGTACATTTTAAATCTTGCTTACAAATTATTTTCTTATTTAACAAATCTGACTGATCTTCTACTGGGGATTCAGTTTTATGACTTGTCACATATTTCTCAGGCATACCCTTAATGCAACCTGAAACAACTTTCTCTTCAGCCAAATGAGATTGATCAAAATCTGAGAATAAACTGGCCATGCTGAATTCTTCTTGATTATGCAACACAGGTAGGGATCCTGACAATACTTCTCTATGTTCAGTATCCACTTGAATCGGTTCTGTACTTCTACTGTCTTCCACTTCAATTGCTTTTCTCCATGAGCTCCTAATTTCAGTTACTAATTAAAAGGGGGGAAAATACAATTTACTAATATTCCCAACACAAAGCCAKCAATTAAAAACTTTATTTCTAATGCTGAAAATAAAGATACTGATTCAGTATATGTTCCATAAATATGCTGATTGGATGCTAAAGTTCCACAAAATACCAAACCCCAACAACATCAGATAACTCCTTCTTCAGCTGATGAAACACAAGATGTGTAAGAAAAGATGTTCCTTAAATATGCATATAGCTTTTCACAATACATATTGAGTTATATGCATTAAAAAGACAATTTCTGTTCCATCTAGGTCAGGGTGTAAACTTTTTCTATAAAGGGTCAAATAGTAACATTTTAAGTTTTGCAGCCATCTGATCAGTCCAAACTGTTCAACTCTGCAATTGAAAGTGGCTATAAACAATGTGTCAAGGGAGGGGGTAATAGGAAAAGTAAAGACAGTGGAATGAATCTGACATATCTTTCCCATGTACATATATGACTATACTACAGTGAATCTTTTAAAAAAAAAAAATGTTAACTTAACAGAACAAAGAGCAGGACCAGATTTGATTCACAGAATGTAGTTTGCTAACAACCAATCTAGGCTGTGGTTGAGTTRAACTTGAATTAAATCAGGCATGAAAGAGAAATTGTATTTAATTATTCAACCAAGATGATTTGCTTTGGTTAYGTAAGAAAACCAGTATCAGAACTTTGCCAGCTGGCTGTGATGGCAACACGWCTGTAATTCCTCCAGCTACTCAGAAGGCTGAGGCTGGGGGATCCCAAGTTTGAGGCCAGCTTAGGCAATACAGCAAGACTCTTATCTCAACAATAAATAAATAAATTAATGAAGAACTCTGCTTACGAATTGTAGGGAAAAAAGATCTGGTACTATYTGGGGAGAAGAAAAAATCTGTGCAGTTTTTGGCTAATATGCATGGTTGCTGACTAGGAAAATACAGCCTCTATACTTTCTAAATGTGTTCAGATYTGAATGCAGGAGACTTTTTAGAAAGTGGTTAAGTAAAATACTCTCCAGAAAAAAATCCAGGTAACACAACAAAAACAAAATTGTGGTATTATCACGGCAAATTATACCTCTGGAAAGTACATTAAAATCACAAAATAATACTGATGAAAGACTGCTGTTCAAGTGCAAGTATCCACACTGAATACTTCAATAAAATTCCCTTACATCACAACAAATAAAGAGCCATTGTCAACTAAGTTGAAAGATACAGAACAGAATTTTAAAATATGTTTCCAAAAGACAATAGGTCTAAGAGTGGTAATATATAAGAAAGAGGAAATGAGATAGAAAGCATTATTAACTTACTTAAGTTTTCTGGAGTTCGAGGAATTTGTTTCCTTGTTAAGAAGGGGTTAGAAACTAGAGAGTCGATTAGTTCCTCTAGTTTTACTTCTTTTCCTTCAGAGAGCTGTGGYGAATCAGATAAAACCGCTTGGGCAACCTAAAACAGAAAGAGAAAACTTAAAAAACAGCCAACCCCACTAGTCAAATGCAACAAAAACTTCTTAAGAATAGTAAAAGTGCAAGGCTGCACACCTGCAATCCCAGCTACTCCGCTGAGAAGCTGAAGCAGGAGTTCCAGGCCATCCTGGACAATTTAATGAGACCCTGTCTCAAAATAAAAAATAAAAAGGGCGGGAGTTGTCTAACAGTGGTAAAGTGCCACTGGGCTCAATCCCCAGTACTGAAAAATAAATAAACAAAAAATAAAAAAGAATAAGCACTTCACAGTCAGCAGATCCCCCCAAAGCAGATGGCAAAAAAAAAAAAAAAATAAACAACGTGAGCCAGGTACCATGGCATACACCTGTAATTCCAGCTACTCAAGAGTCTGAGACCAAAGGATTGCAATTCAAGCCTACCAGCAGCTCAGGGAGACTGTCTCAAAATAAAAATTAAATTAAATTAAAAGGGCTGGAGAAGGATGGGGCTGTAGCTCAGTGGCAGAGCGCTTGCCTCACACGTGTGAGGTACTGGGTTGGATCTTCAGCACCAAATAAAAATAAACAAATAAAATAAAGGCCTGCTGTCCATCTACAACTACGAAAAAAAAAAAAATTTTTTTTAAAAAAGGTGGGGGACTGAGGAGTTAGCTCAGTGTAGAGGGCCCCTAGTACCACACACAAAAAACAACAATAAAACTCCAAGGTACTATGTATACATCATCTGGAGTGAAATAAAACACAAAACAATATTTTCATTATCTTAAATGGATAAGCCACTAGAAAACAGTGTAGAAAAACAGATTTATATTTGGGAAGATTTATTAGTGGTATGGACAGTGATCTAAGTTACTATCTGCCACATCTTTGGATTTGACTACTCTATACCCACTCAAATGATTATTTTAAAGCAAACAGATTCTCCTTATAATCATTTGCACAATAATATCTCTAATAACAAAAAGAATACATTCTGACAATATACTTCCTTGCCAAAAACCTCATTATCATATCCAAATTATCGAGCAATAGRGATACATTCTAAAGTAAAGATAAGAAAGTGTATGAAATATCACTCTATTAACTAAGTATCAACAAAAATAAAAAACAAAAAACATATGCTTAACTAAATCCAAATAATGCTAAGGTATGCTATGGAAAACATGTATTAAAAATAATATTAATGAATGAATGACAAGTAGTTTGTGTAAGCTGAGTTCTGTAGTACTGAGCAATAGAGGTATAATGTGTTCAATTACTAGTGAAAAGCAGAATAGCATTAAGGGGCAGGATTAGCTAGAAAAACTGAGTTCATGAACAGCAATGTATGTAATCACTTTCAAAATATTTAGGAAACAAACCAAAAAAAACCTCTAAATATTCCTTGTTTTAATATTCAACAAAAAGCAACATTAAAAAATATTTAAATAACAATTAAGTAATGTTAATCCCTAAAATATGAAAGAAGTATTTTAATATTTTGGGTTTTTTGTTTGATTTGGTTTGGTTTGGTACTGGGRATTGAACCCAGGGTCACTCAACCACTGAGATACATTGCCAACCCATCTTATTTTTTGAGACAGGGCATTGGTAAGTTGCTTAGGGCCTCACTWAGTTGCTGCGGGTGGCATTGAACTTGGGATCCTCCTGCCTCAGCCTCCCAAGTCACTGTAATTACAGGTATGTATTRCCACCCTAGGATTTTTATACTTTTGGATGATATTTGTAGAATGGAGATAGAGTTCTAAAACATGGATGTAATCTTAGTACATTTATAAGCAATCTATTTCTACTTTTAGGATGGTACCAATTTTGCATTAACCAAGATTTTTATTATCTGTGATCTCCCTTCCCCCAACCAACCTCAGTTAACTGCAAATTAACTGTACTTCACTACTGATCCCAAYATCATTGAGTGGAAAAAAGGTATTTAAGTATACTTATCAATAGTCTTTTTCTAACCTCTTCTACCAGATGATCTTGCTCTTTTTGGAAAGGATCACTTTTTGGGTGAGCCAGAGACCCTTCAAATGCTCTAGTCTCTGTATTCTTCGCAATATCTGATAATGAAGAATCTTCCACTTTAAATTCTGGTGTTTTCTTAGATGGTGTTTCATTTTTTTCTTTGGGAGTTCTCATCTTCATATCATAAAGAAAAAAGACATGTAATATTAAAACCTTAATCATGGCCAATCTTGAAGCTTTTTCTTTTTAATTTTTTTAATTTGTTCTTTTAAGATATATTGAAGCTTTTTTCATTAAACATTCATGTGTAAAATCATGAACCCCAAAAATGTTAATATTGTCATAAATAATTTCCAATAGTCCCACTTGGCAAAAAAATATATAAACAGAAATGGCATAAAATATATAAACACTGAGAAATTAGAAAACAGAAATTAAATTTAATAAAACTGTTATAGCAACAAAAATAATATCATTTAGTATAGTCAGAATCAATTGTTTCAGAATATACCTTTTCAAGTAGTGTAACATTGTTTCTATCTGAAGATGAAGCTGGCTGTAACAGGAAAGAGGCAGAACTAAAAGGAAAAAACAATAGCAAATTCAAGTTACAAGYAGGAAAAAATTCCATTCACTTGATGTATCTTAATATCTTTTAAAAATTGTCTGCCCCGTATCTGTCCGTTACGATTTCACTCAATTCGTCCCGGTCATCAAAAGGCAGTTTATTCTAGGGAGGTATGGTGACAAGTAGAGCAGTATTTCAGCCCAATTTGTGTATCAGCCTCCCAATTCACATTTTACTTACTTGCTATATATGTTTTAAGTCAATAGCATTTTTAAATTTTTTTTAAGATAGACAATATCTTTATTTTATTTACTTTTTTATTTATTTTCTATGTGGTGCTGAGGATCGAACCCAGTACCTCACAAGCGTGAGGCAAGCGCTCTACCACTGAGCTGTAACACCAGCCCCAAGTCAACAGCATTTTCTAAAAGGGCTAAATAACCTGATGAACGCTCCAAAACTTGAAAAAGGCTTAAAACAGATTCAATTTATTAGAACAGCAATATTACAAGGTTTATGTAGCAAAGTATTTAAGATTCTTTTGATAATTCATGTCTCCAAAATCAATTTCTCATGCTAAATATCGCTTAATTGCAAATATGTTACATATCAAGTCATGAGTTTATTCAGTTTTCATTCACTATAATCTGTATGTTTATTCTTTAATCTTTTAGATCCCCTGCCCATTTGAATGAATACTAAAAACTCATGTATATTTTTATACTAATTATAAAGTAACTTATTAAATTTTAAAACCTTAAAGGAAATGATAACTTTAAAGTAACCATTTGAGGGGGGATGGAGCCATGGCTCAGTGGTACAGCACTTGCCTGGCATGTGTGAGGCCCTGGGATTGATATAAATATAAATAAAAGATCCATTGATACTTAAAAGAAAAAAACTAACCATTTGCTCTTGACCTCAAAAGATCTTTTAAATTCAAAGGTCAAAAGCTTTTCTACCCTAGGTAATTTAAAAAACAGGATTACCAAAGAGATCACTGTCAACAGCAAGCATATAGTACTGAGTTTTTTCACAGCCATAAGTACAAAATTAAGGGCTTTTGCAAGTATATTAGCCAATTTGTGTGTGTGTCTGTGTGCGCACGCTTTTGCAGTGCTGAAAATTAAACCCAGGGACACAATACCTGAATTACAACCCCAACCCAAGCATGTTTATTTTTCTATTTTGAAACAGAGTCTCACTAAATTGCCCAGGTTGGCCTCAAACTTGAGATTCTCTAACTTTAGCCTCCCTAGTTGCTGGAATTACAGGTATGTAACACAATACCCAGATTAATTTTTCAAATGTTTTCAAATATGCACTCTTGGAATCTTCATGTATCCTCCAAACACAACTCAAAGTCACTACAATTGCTGAAGGTTCAATTTAGCATTAACAAGATATGATGAAGCTGGCTGTAACAGGAAAGAGGTAGGTATCAAAGGTAAAGGGCTATTATATTTCCCTAAATTTCACATTAAAATTATCAAAAAGCTCTCTGAAACAGGGCCAATAATTTATTGACCAATGCCATTAAGGTGCCAAATTGGTTGGGACAAGGGGACAAAGGTTTACATTCTTCCCAAAAGCTATTCCCAGGTAGCATAGTTTAGTGTGACATAGTGCAATACATACGCATTAATTGTTTGATGGATTGACCAAATCAATGAGTAAATGTCATTTGAGGATAGGGTTCTTCTGGTGACAACAATTGTTTCTATTTAAATCACTCTTGTGGAGCCTTGTAATAGAGAACAATAGAAATGCATTTTATACCCTCTTCTCTCTCAYTTCTGAATTGGCAACATGCTATTAGATCTGCTAACATTATAACCAAAGACACTGTTAAAGCAGCCCTAGCTCACTCCTAACTCACTATCTACTTCCATGCCAAGCAAGGCCCATAAAATCAAAGCATTATAACAGACCAAAAGAAAGGGTATTGATCCCATCGTGGCATTTACGCCAAAGAAAGAGCAATTCCAAAAAAAAAAAAAAAAGCAGCATTCATTTTTTTCAAAGGGAGAAATAAATACAAATGTCTAAAAACAAACATAATGGTACAAAGCATTAAGTGGAAATTAGTTAACATAATGCTCATTAAAATATAGAGACAAACACAAAACTGTTTACACTATACTAATATTATATAAACTTTKTATTTTAGAACATGACAGTATCCATTCTTTGTTAGAACTAAATTTACATGATTCTATATAAACTCTAGAAAAGATAGAAAAGAAATTCAAAGGAAAAAAAAGTGACAAGTGATTTCATAGAAATTTTAGGCAATTTTTTTTCACTTTAATTTACTATTATTGCTATATTATATCTACATAGCTGAGAAATAATAGAAATTATTAAAAGAAGAAAGGTGAGATTGAAATTCAATTCTAACACTAACAATGTTCAGCTGACATCTTAATATTATACTACCCTATCTTCAAAGTTAACTAAAGGAGAAAATGTAAACATTAAGGGTCAAGAACAGCATCATCATCACCATTAGAAACAACATGGTAACTTCCCCAAAACCACTGCAAAGAAAAATAGTGACCATAGTGACAGAGAAGGAATCACTAATCACTGAACTTCAGTTTCAAGTATGGTGCAGCCTCCATAAGCTCACTTCGTCAAAACCAGCAATGACATTTATGGAGAAGACTGTTTTGATACGTGTAAATGATAACTGCATATGAAAGGGCCAACAACACATTCTAAATSTACATTCTTCCCAGATTTTTAATTGAATAGTTATATCAACCATATTCACATATAAATTTCCCAATAATGTAAGTTGATAGTATTACAAACTTAAAATTTTGAGTAAATGCTGAACTATTCAGAAAAGGGGATTTTCTTTTCATTCAATAAGCATAGTCTATCCATATTACACATGAACAAAGTACAGGGATTGAATCCAGGAGTGATTAACCACTGAGCTAAACCTCCAGCCCTTTTTTATATTTTATTTAAAGACAGGATCTCACTGAATTGCTTAGTGCATCACTAAGTTGCTGAGCCTGATTTTGAAATTGCAGACCACATGTCTCAGCCTCCCAAGCCACTGGGATTTACAGGCATGAGTCACCACACGCAGCCTMACAAATACCTTTAAGAGTGAAGAATTCTAAGCAATATAATTTATTTTACATCTTAGAAATTCAACTCCTCACAGGTCTTCTGTTCTGCTAACAATACTAACTTTTCACATCCCATTAAGCATTTTACTCCTCACCATGAAAAGCCTTCCCTAGCAGAGTGTGGWAGCATATGCCTGTAATGCCAGGGACTTGGGTAGCTGAGGTAGGAGAATTGCGAGTACAAAGGTAGCCTCAGCAACTAAGAGGGGCCCTGAGCAACTCAGCAAGACCCTGTCTCAAAATAAAAAGGGCTTAGGGATATAGCTCAGAACCACAGTCTGAGTTCAATCACCAGTAACAATAACTGAAGAAAGGAAGAAAGAGAGAGAGGGAGGGAGGAATTGTTTACCTAAACACCCTTCAATATCCCAAACCTATAATTTTTAAAAGTATCAAAGTAATTTAAAGATCTAGGAGATTAAAAGAGGACAAATGTGAACATCAAAGAATACTTAATATGTCTCCTTTTTCCTATATTAAGAGACTACATTCGAACTACCTTTTAAGGGCTGAATGTCTATTTCCTATATACAATTGATAGTATATATTACTATACAATTTTCCAAAAAGGAATCAAGGTTCAATAACATTCATGAAAAAAACTCAATTTATGTATTAATCTAGTACCTCCATCAATCTATAGTTCAACAAAAGACTTTAATTGAAATACTTAATTTGCCCTCTCAAAGGAAGACAAATCAAGAAAATAACTAAGATTGGTAAGTATCAAATATACCCTCTTGGCATGCTATAAGAAAATTGTGACATGAGGATAAATTGGGCAAGCTAATACTCTACTATCAACACTAGATCTTCAGAGATTTTATTATTTTTCCTTATGTATTCAGAGAATCAACAACAAATCCAAACTTAAGAAAAAAGAGATAGGGCTGGAAATATAGCTCGGTAGAGTGCTTGCATTGCATGCACAAGGCCCTGGGTTCAATCCCCAGCACCACAAAAAAAAAAAAAAAGACATAAATTTTCCACAACTAACACTGACCTCCTATGAACAAGAAAGTTATTACAGAGGCAACTGCAAATGGCTCAATTTCACACAAAAGTTTTTACTCTAGTTACAGTATTTCAACTTTCTAAAAATATATRTAATGAAAACTACTTCATGTGAAATTTAGAATTATTTTTTCCCCCACAATATTGGAAATTGAACCCAGAGATACTCTACTCCCGAGCACCATCTCCAGCCCTTTTTAATGTTATTTTGAGACAAGGTCTCACTAACTTCCCAAGCTGGCCTGTAGTCACCAGAATTACAGATAYGTGCCACTATGCACAACTTATAGAGCTTTCTGATTTAACTTTCCTAATAATTTTATTTTCATATCTGTCCCTCATCTACTTGGAGAAGGTGAACTGAAAGACACCCATTAAAGTCAAATGTCCAGGTGTGGTGGCATGCACGCCATTAGTCCCAGTAAATCAGGAGGCTGAAGCAGGAGGATCACAGGTTTGAGGCCAGCCTCTAAAACTTAGCAAGACCTAAGCAATTTAGCAAGACCTTGTCTCAAATCATAAAAAGGGCTAGAGATGTGGCTCAATGGTTAAGCACCCCTGGATTCAATCCCCAATACCAAAAAAAAAAAAAAAAACCCAGTCAAATGGCAATAAAAATAATAATAAATAAATAATCTATTCAGTATGTCTTAATTCTATTGAACCTTTACAATGCTTAATAATCCCAATAAAGACCAAATATATTCCAGTAGTAAATTACATACACTTAGGGATTTTTTTTTATATATATATATATGACCTGGCATCAGTTTTAAGAGCCAAAATGAGATAACAGAGAAAATGGGCAATAAAGAAAATAGGACTACTCCTGAAGGAAACTAACAGTAAGTTTAGGATTTTCATGTTAAATTTGGGGGTGAGAGTAAATCAGAGTCYCCCAATATTTTCTGAAACCATGGAAAAATTTTTAGCAAGTGGTTTGTCAAAAGCCTCAGTACACAATATAGATAACTGAACAAGCTGAAATGGGAAACAGTTGAGCCAACCAAAGCCTGAATTAAATTCAGTCATAGCAGAATATAGTCTGAAACCTACCAAACTAGATGATCTCAAAGATTCCCAAATTCTTGACTTCTAGTAAGTTTTTACAGAATGTTTTCMAAAAAGTTCACAAGTGCAAAAAATGGCAAAATTCCAAAACTTACATTAGATAATTTCCATATACATTTTTTTCTTCAATATCAGATTATCCCCATGAAACACAATATTTAAAGTACAGATGGAGAAAAAATGCCCATGCATCATAAATGCTAAATCTTTTCTGAAAATGTGGGTCTACTATAGAAAGTATAAATACTGCCAGGTTAAGATAAGGCAGTTATATAGTAAATTGGAAACTTAGTAGAAAAGTTTCRAAATTAGCTTAAGATGGGACTAAAATTACTATAGAAAATCTTTGCCACCTGCACTTAAGATAGAGCATTAATCTCCAAGAWATATAAAGAACTCAAAAAAACTTAACACCAAAAAAATCAAATAACCCAATCAACAAATGGGCAAAGGCATTTCACAGAATAGGCACTTCACAAAAGAGGAAATAAAATCCATCAAGAAATATAAAAAATGTTCAACATCTCTACCAATTAGAGATATACAAATTAAAAACTACACTGAGATTTCAACTTACTCCAGGCAGAATGGCAATCATCAAGAATACAAGCAATAATAAGTGTTGGCAAAGATGTGGGGGAAAAGGTACAGTCATACTTTGCTGGTGGGACTGCAAATTGGTCTCTCTCTTTCTTCCTTTCTGGAAAGCAGTATGGAGATTCCTCAGAAAACTTGGAATGTAACCACTATTTGATCCAGTTATCCCACTCCTCAGTTTATACCTCAAGGACTGAAAATCATCATACGACAGTGACGCAGTCACATCAATGTTTATGGCAGCTCAGTTCACAATAGCTAAGTTATGGAACCAACGTAGGTGCCCTTCAACAGATGAATGGATAAAGAATATGGTGTATATATGTGTACAATGAAATACTACTCAGCCATGAAAAARAATGACTTTATGTCTCTCATGGGAAAATGGATGGCCTGGAGATTATCATGCTAAGTGAAATAAGCCATTCCCCCCGCCCCCCCCCCCCCGCAAAAAAGGCCAAATGTTCTCTCTGATATTCGGATGCTAACACACAAAAAGGTGTGGGGAGAGAAGAATATAAATTCAGTGGATTAGACAAAGGATCATGGAGGGAAAAGAGGAGACAGGAATAAGAAAGACAGTAGAATGAATTGGATATAATTTTCCTGTTTRGATATGCGTTTTGACCGTGTAACTCCATATCATGTACAACCACAAGAATGGGTATACTCCATGTACATATGTCAAAACATACTCTACTGTCATGTAGATCTAAAAAGAACAGATCTATTTAAAAAAAWATATAGAAAGTCAATATAAATATCAAATTGTTTTACCTATTGGCTAGATCACACACAGCTATCAAGGTATCAATGTCTGCTTTGCAATCCTTTTCTTCATTATGTTGCTTAGGTATATCTAAAATAGAAAAAATAATTACTTATGTTCATACATGTTCAAGTATTTCTTGAAATTCTAAAACCTTTTTATTTTTTTGTACAGTGCTGGGGATTAAACCCCAGTCTTCACACCTGTTAGATAAGTAGTCTCTTAGCCCCAGAACAGAAGAAATCAGAAGATAACAAACACTTAATAAGAAAAGAATTATCCAATTCTTAAGGTAAAGTGATAGGCACAAAAGTAACAGAGCATATCTAAATAGTAAGCTTTTATAAAAAGACTGCTACATGTGCAAGGCCATGACCTTGATACACAGTCATGCAAAAAACAAACAGACAACTGAACTGGAAACTCATACTAAAACAAAATTTCCAAAAGCTGACAGTCCATAAATTTTCCAGTGTTATATAACCATGTTTCCTATTTAAGTACACAAATCATGTAATAACACATAAGCCGGCAAGGCCAAAAAGCTAGTGTTTAGCATACTTGGCACAGTTTTTATGCAGCAATCAATCTAAATATTTACTCATCTTATCATTGAATAACTATGTGCCATTACTGTACTAACAATGGAAAAAAGAAAGGAGAGACCATGCTTCTAGTGAGTCAGTCAAGTATCTAATGAAGTGTGATACTGCTAAGTATTATTTTACAGAAGTATTTACAGAAGTATGTACAAAAAGCAAGAAGTCAGGAGAAACACCTGGCCCAAACTGGGGAGAGGGAAGAAGGTATGAAGGTATTGAGAAAACATGGTACTGTAGCATGGGGATTATACCACGGAGGCATAAAGGAAAATGAGACTAGTGAAGAAAGCCAGGGTTATGCTACATAGGATTTGATATTGCAGGGACTACTCCTCTTTCAACATGCTAGTTTCCAAAAGGCTTCCCTATTTGTACATGTGTCCCAAATGTCACTGTATCAGAAGCCGATGTAAATACTATGTAAAGTTTTCCTCTTAATACATCATTATAAATATGCCATTTCTTATAACATTTTCACCTTCAGGCACCTACTAATTGTAATGAAACTGCGCTAATGCTTATAAAYATCCCAAAAATAAGCACAAATACAACTCTACTACAAAACTGTTAGAAAAATCATGAACAAAAATTATTACACACCACTATAAACACMATTTATTGTAGGGAGCCAGAGTTGAAACATTTATTCTGGCATGTAAGAAAGCTTGAAACGTAAAAATTGGTAAGCATTTCAAATTCTTCCCCCTAATGATAAGAAGCTATTAATGTGTTTTATGTCAGAAAATGAAAGGGAYCATATTTATGTTAAWGTAAGACCACTGACAGCCATTGTGAATATGGAACAAATTGAATATTGGAGATAGCATAACTAGGCTGAATATAATTTCAAGTAAGAAATGATGTGATGGGGGTGTAGCCCAGTGGTAAAGTTCTTGCCTAACATGCATGAGGTCCTGGGTTCAATTCCTAGCACTAATATTAAAAAAAAAAAAAAAAACGAAATGAGAACTAGATGTGAAAATAGAAAATGTGAGGATAAGACATTTGAAAGATAAAAAAATAAAACTGAACTCATAACAGGGCAAACCAAACAGAAACAGACACTAATTGGTACCCTACCATAAGTACACTAGAACTGCTGAATTCAATTAAGAAAAATAAAGGAACTAAAAGAACAAATAAATATCAGTATAAGACAGAAAGTCTGATCAGAATGGCAAGCTCAAACTAAGAAAGGGCATCTGATAAAAGCTGGCAGGCTCTAGGAGCTGGACACTGGAAAATTTATGCCTATCTGGCTAAATTCTGAAGCCACTCAAGCTAGGATCTGAAATGAGAGACTGACATAAAGCCAGGATACTGAAAGGGCTGCTCTCTAACCCTCAAAAGGGATTACAAAAATTCTGCCACCTGGACTGAAGAAGTAGAAAGATTCTTGCTATACCTGAGTTGGGGGAATGAAAGAAATTCAAAACCTTTACTACTCAAAAGGAGGTATAAAATCCAAAATTATAATGGTTACTTGTTATACGAATCCCAAAGACATTAACTGGTCTAATTCAAAAGAAAAACCTATACCTATATAATAACCTATAGAGGCTATTTTATAACCCAGAGCTCCCAAGAATCCTTCAGAGGTAAAGAGACTTAGTAAAGTTGAAATCATGATCACCTATTCTTATACGAAGCAAAAMACCATGAGCACTGGCAAGCAGAACATATAGAAGCAGAAATAAGCAAGACAGAAGAAAGAAAAATTAAAAAGACAAAATCAGTATATTTAAAATGGTTAGTAGCCAGGTGTAGACAGGAGACTTAGACAGGAGTATCTCAAGTTTGAGGCCAACCTCAGAAACWTAGTGAGAGTCTAAACAACTTAGTCAAACTATCTCAAAATAAAAAATAAAAAGAACTGGGGATGTAGCTCAGTAGTAAAGTAAAGCAGCTCTGGGTTCAAGCTCCAGTAACAAAAAAATAAAATAATTAGCAAAAAAAGAAACAAAAGAAACCATAATGAAAGAAGACCATAAAAAAAMCAAATTTTGAAAAAGAAGCATAATAAGGCATCTAGAAATTAAGTATTCATGAAGATTAAATACTAAAAATAGGTTAAAAGGCAGATCGAGCCGGGCACAGCAGAGCAACTCAGGAAGCTGAGGCAGGAGAGATGTAAATTTAAAGCCAGCCTC